GATACAAAAAAAAAAAAAAGAATAAGAGATTGAACCGTGAGAGATGGGAACCATTCTGGAGCGAAAAGAAAACTTGTAAGATACGGATCGCGAGGATAGAGATAGGGAACGATCGATGGAGGCCATTCGTGGTGGAGAATGTTCCATTAATTACGCGGAAACCTTCAGCTAATCAATGGGTAGTTAGTGGCCAATGGTTGGCTCGCATCAATAATCACTGGGCGACGCGGTAGTATAGTGCTGGGCTTTGATGCGCTAATTTACACCACCTGCATTAATGCCCTTGCCCCACTGGTCCGGAACGACGATTGTCTAAGTGCGTGTACTATCCCAGGACAGGTATGCGCCGCGGACAAGACGATATATTAAGATAAATCCGCTGGTACAAGCGTCGATATTCATCCCTTGATTCACGATTCCTATCTATTTATTTCTGCTCGAATCGGCGAACGATCTTGATCGTTTCGTCGAAGCAATTATTGAGCAATCGATGATTCTTCTTTCGTAAAATAAATCTCTAACGAAAAAGATATTTCAGCATATCACAAGACATCCGTGCATGAAAATCCATACCATCGAACATTGCATCAAATTTTTTTTTTTTTAAGAAAACATTAAGGAGATTTGTTCGTCAAGGATAATAAATTTGCGTATAAAACGCGATATTCGAGAAATGTTCGTACGAGTAATAAAACGGAGGGAAGATTTTCGTCTTGTCAGTCTCTTCGAAGAAGGAATTTCGAACGAGCCGTGAAACAAAGTGGGATCTTTTCATTCCATCGCCTGTCGGCTAATATCCGATGCTCCGACCGTAACGAGAGGACACAAAAGAACAAACCTTCCCGGTTACCTCGCAAATCTACGTCTACTCTCCAAGGAAAAGCGCAATCACGGTAACAGCGCGCGATTAACCAGGGAACAATGGCGGGGTCCGAGGGGTTCCGAAAATTCGCGGCACAGCACAATGAGCGGGGTCCTCGCGGTGGACTGGCTGCTTGCCTCCCTCTCTCCGTATCTGACTGCTATACTTTTCACTCCGTTATAAATACACCGTGTAAACGTCTCGGTGACACTCGGCTCCGTTCCTCCGTCGCGCTTCCGCTCTCGAGCAACGGTGACAACGGTGGGAACAATGAGCCGACCCCACCGTGCAAACTTCACCTTTTGTCCCGACGCACCAGAAACGGGCGGCAGAAGGAGAAAGAAACCCTCCCCCGCTCGGTTTACGACCGAAACAATACTTTTATCTTTTCGAAATTCGTCCTCGAGACTGGTGACGGTGCCGACCCGCCTAATTAGATTTCGTGAAAAGGGAATGAGAGAGAGATTGGTTAAATAGTTGGCCACGCGGTAGTCGTTGTAATAAAGCGTTGAAAAGGTGTTGAGAGGGAGAGCGCGTGAAAGATTAATAGAAAATTCGCCGGAGTTGCGTCCGTGGCGATGCGAGTTTAATTAACCAAAAGGCGGCGAGGTTTTGTGGATGGTGTCGTATAGATACTAGATGAACGAGATATTTTGCATTGTAATTTTTGTTCCACGTTGTGCTACATACATGTGGCTGACTTTGGTACTTTAATGTAAATGCTTGTAAATGAAATGCGTGTACACGCGACGCTATGGATGGAATATTTAGGCGATATTTACGAATTTTTGTTGCTCGTTGAAGGTTTGGGCGATGCATTATTTTCGCTATTTTGTGGGTAAAATCGGTTTTCTGCGATGCGAGTTCACACGAATAATAATCGTGGTATAATCCGACGAAACAAGTTTGTATAGAATTTGTAACGAAATGTCCATTGGGCCACGGAAAGAAAGTTATTGGAAAGAAGGTATTTTTGTGAAAAAAATTCGTATCGTTTTATTATGTATGAAAGATTACATCAAAGATTTTTGTTGATACTTGATTAAAATTCGTAGAATCGAGTTTTGTTTATGTACAGAGAAGAATCTTTGTAGTGATCCGACGAGAGGGAAGGATTAACTCGTGTTGCTCGTTATTCTGCATTAGCATACTCTCCTTTTGACCATGTTTATTGTCTAATGAAATTGATGTTGTTAGTGGCGGTAATGTATTGCGAGGGAAGTGCGCAAATAATGGAATACAATTGCGTTTCCTCTTTGTTTCAAACGAATTGAAATTGTTCGACGATCGATGTCAAAGTTCGTTTAATCCAAATGACACGTAATTATCGTGTTATTTCTATTGATTATTGGTTAAGTTTAAAGCGGGAAAAGATGGACAAATTTCGCGTTAACTCCAATATCCAATATCTCCTTTATTTTCACCGTCATAATAAGCCGTCGGGAAAAGCATCCTGAACTACACTTTTCTTCTGTAAAAATAAAAAAAAAAAAAAAAACTACCGACTACGCCGTCAAAGAACTCAGTTTCTAATTCATACAGTCGAGCAAGCGGCTCAGAAGCCCGATTCCTCGACGTCCCTTTGCGGAAGTTTAAATAATACCAGCTTTGTACGTTGTGCATCATCCGCTCGATCGGCGTTTTATTGTCGTCTCGTGAAATTGTACAAAGAATCTCTCAAAGAAACGGGGGAAAAGTATGGAGGAAGAAGAAGAAGAAGAAAAAGAAAGAAGAGGAAGAACGAACGAATCGAGCAGGAGACGAGAATAAGAAGAAGAAGGAAAAGGAGAGAACGAAACTTATAAAGAGCGGTTCCGTTGACGTCCACGCGAATCGATGGCCATTATAATGCAAACCTTGGAAAGAAAGAAAGAAAGAGCATAGGCGAGAGGAAGGGAAAAACAATATCGGTTGAAGTGTTCACGTGGTACGTAAGTGGAACGAAAGCGGAATGCCACGAATTTCGTTCGCGTGGTTTCCATGATGGAGTTTGACCGGTGGACCGAAGCGAGCAGTATCGGCCTGGTCTGCTCCGATAAAGGAGAAAGCCCCGATATTGGTCGGACAGTGGAATGCCCAACCTCTTCCTCCCCCTCCTACTCCACGCTCGTGTCGGACAACAAGATTTCTCTCTGGGTACCTTATCCCAGCCTCGTCAGCCTTATGGACCGAAGATGTGGATGGGCGAGGGAAGAAAGAAAGGCGGGAAGGACGGATCGAGGGCGAGGTTAAAAGGAAAGTCAAGGGGATCGAAAGATTGCGATTGGAACAAGTACCGTTAAGCGGCAATGGTCTTGCCCGTTGTCACGATCAGACACGCGTGTGCACCGCCTCGACTGTCCTTGCCGAGGAACAACCTGGTAAATTGAATTTCGGCTGGAATGGAAGGGAGGGGGGGAGAGGGAAAGTCGAGAAGAGAGTTTACGAGGGAGGGAGAAGGGATGCTACGAGCACAGGTGTCGAGAAAAGGGGGAGAGGCTGAGGAAGATGGAGGGGCGAGACGTCCGTTTCCTCGCGATTCACCCATTTAACCGGCGCGAAGAGTGCGAAAACAAGGGGAGCGTGTTATCGAGCGCGGCTAAACGAATTTGGTCCGGGAATACCGTCGGTAAAGGAAGAGAAAGAGAGAAAGAGAGAATTCGGTTCGGATGGAATCCGCGGCCGTATATTTCTACCGCCTATTCGTCGAATGAAATACGAAGAATTCGGCATAAAGCAACCGCATAAAACCCGCATTATTCTTAACGTTTTTTTTTTTTTTTCCCTTCGGGCGTAAATTCAGCGAATTTATACTACGGGCAAATCTATCCCCATCAGACGCAGAACGACGTCACCGTTTCCAACCATCGCCTTTCTTCGCTCTCCCCCTCGCTTTCTCCCCTTTTCATACGATGAACCGCCGGTGGAATTTCTCCACGATCACGGATGACAATGGGTAGGCGAGACGAGTTTATCAATCGGCTTTTCGACGCTTCGTTTCGAAAATTTCGAACAAAATAACAAAAATTTCGAGGATTTTTAACGAATTTTCATTAACAAATCGAAAGAATCGGATTTCGAGGGATCGAGTTGATAAAACTCTTATTCTGGACATCTCTGGCAAGATGTTTGGAGCTACGAATCGACCCGCCCCCGTTCGAGATGGCCAGCGAGCGAGCGAAATTAAACATCGGCGCGCGGATGACAAATAAAGGGGACGAGAGGCGCGACGGTCGGACAGGAAAAAGGGGTCTAGCTGGTGGTATCGGGAAATAAAGGAAGGCCTGTCCTTCGCGCGAGCAACCGGCGAGATATTAAAAACAAAAAGTGGGCCGCGTGGCGGCCGGTTCATTTGAAACGTGATTCGAGGGGGTTGAAACGTCGTCATCCTCCTCTTCCCCCTTTTCCCCTCCGCATTGTTTCGCCGCGTGTACGTGGTGCGTTTCGACGCGCGAGACGAACGACACAGGTTCGTTGGTCGATGGGGAAAAAAATGAGCGCGATGAGAAGAAAATGTTTGCGACAGATGCATATTCATGCGGTGTCACCGCTCTTGTCCCCCGCCGTGAAATGATTAATATGCATACGATTTTTGATCATTCCTGAAACTTGGAATTTTGTGGAAAATAAGTATTTCGACGGGGAGAGGTGAGGTTTTTAAAAGGGATTAAAGTTCGATTGTTTTTACGAGATTGTCGTTCCCGGAAAATTGATTACGCGTAACGATAATAAAACGGTTAAGCTTTGATGTTTTATAATACGTATTAATTTTTCACCCGATACGCGATATTGTTTGTTACAAAGTGTAATTTATATTTCAGTCCGACTTTTTTCCCTCCTCCGTTCCATGGAACGGAAAATGAATATTAATATTTCGCTGATTTATAATTACGCTGAAAACTTTGATATTTCTTCTTCCGTACGAGAGCACGACAGGAAACAAAAATTTCTGCCGATTGTCGAGTAGCATTTTTCCAGCCACGTTTAATTATTTGCATATTAATCGAAACGCAAAGTGGCGCAAAGACCTCCTTTAACCTAATAATTAATATACAACTTGACACACTTTACTAAGCGTCGATTCGCTTAGTATTTAATGTCGCCTGGCAATTAACAACGCGCGTTATTAAGTATTTAATAAGTAGGAATGGTTACTCACCGAGGACGACGAGTTTCACAGGCCTGCCGGAAAGTATCTTCCCTTGGTCGTCCTCGAGCCTGCAACCCCATATACCGTCGTCTTCTAATCTGACGTTGTCTATGTGCAACGCGTCAGTCATGGAGTCGCCGATATATCTATGTCCAGTCCCGCTCATCTCCGTCCTCGTGTTGATCGTGATCATATCTACAGGGCTTCCCTCGTGCAACCATGTCGCTGGCCGTATTCTGTAGCTCCTAACAAGACAATTCGTGCCAATTAGAGAATTAATTCGAGATACACGTCGATATAGATCTCGAGAGTTCCTCGAGTTTGAGTTTGTCGGGGCAATATCGACTTCGACTACTTGCTGACGCTACTTTAAATCGAATCTTCTCGTTTGCGGGGATGAAACAGGCCACAGGACGGAGGCCAACAATTACACCGATACGAATAATTTTTCGAAAAAAAAAAAAAAACTTAAATTCGGTTTTTAGAAAACCGTACGTTTTTTTCGGATAAACGTCGATAGAATTGATCGATGGAGAGACTGTTCGTCACGTTTATTCAATTAATCAACGCTTTTGGAGTCTGGAGGCAACGTTTGGAGTGGAAATATTTTTGTCATTATATCGTGGAATAATATTGATCTCTTTAAATAGAATTTCAATCAAATTTCTTTGCCGTGAAATGGAATTACAAGGAATTGAAAACAGACAGTTTTAAAAAAAAATTAATAATAATAATTCGTTATTACCTTTACCGTGATAATTAATTAAATTTGTACAATTTAATCTTTGACAATTAAATTATTTCCATAATTGCCTGAATTTCGGATCGAAATTATTCACAACTTGATAAATATAACGACCCCCATATTTAAATTTATTTTTTCCTTTCCTAATTTTCTAAGAAAAATCACTTTTTTCTTAGAAACGAATGGGGAAAAAAATATACGAATCTATATTTTCCACGATATTGATAAATTGATCGTGGCGCATAGAGGCGCGACAAATCTCGTCATATCCGCTCGTGCGGATTTGATTCGTCGATAAAGACGTGGTTAAATTACCTGACCCCGGGCAACAACAGCCTCGAGTAATTTTCCTCCAGCTCGCACGGCAGTATGACCTTGCTGTGAGGTTTCACCACCAGTTCCAAAGGTGGCTTTGACGAAGCGGCAGCTGTATCTAAGGTGACTGGAACATTGGTTGTAGCGGAAGAACTGGTAGACCATAAGTCCTCTTCGGGGGCTAAAAGGGCCGCGGGCTGCGCCACCTCGTCCGACAGAGAAATCAACGTCGAGCTGGACGCCGTTGTGCTCGTGGTGCTCGTCGTGGTTCTTCTAGCACGCCGTCCACCCTCCTGTCTGCTACGAAGGGTGAAAACACCGGCCTCGTTCACCGAGCCTGCAACGCCATGCGACAGCATCGTGATTGATATTCTATTACTTGCTCGTGTCTTATGTAATATTCGATAGAAGATAGAAATTGGAGATTGCACACGTTTTTTTCTTTTTCTTTTTTTCTTTTTTGTTTAAAAAAATTTGGAAACGCGAAACATTGATTTTGCGACGAAGATTTAATAGATTTGTATCTTTAATTCTTTCTCTTCGCCAAATGTTTTATAATTTTTCTCGATAGCTTTTACGCTAAGAACGCGCGATTCTTATTTAAAAGTTTCGTGGTGAAAAGAATTCGTTTTTTTTTCTTTTATTAAAAAATAAATGTAAAATTCATTTCAACGATTTGTCGGATCTCGAAATGTTTCGAAGATTATATTTGAGGGGAAAAATTTGTAAATGACAAAGCATATTACGGAGGCTTTTACGAAGGCCTTGATTGATCGATACCTTCGTGTAATAAACGTCATTACTTTATTTTATCAAATTCGAGAACCTAATGGCCCTAACGCAATCCCGAAACTCGACAAAGCCGTAAAATAAACGACGTTCCACGCGAGCAAAGGCACTTCTTAACTAAATGGTGTTTCCAACGGTCGGTCGATTCTCCCGAAAACTGTCTATCAGGTTCGGTAGACCAAGGCTGCCCGGGGAAAACTAATTATGACTTCGATGGACCGCAAATAGCTATAACTATCCGGCGCAACTAAGGCACCTCTTGTCGACCCATGTCTACTCGTCCTCTCCTCATGACCTGGTAAACTATGAGAAGAAGCCTAATATTTATTGCTCGCCAAATGATGACATGATCAAAACACGAAACTTTCTCGTCATTTTAACCAAAATGCGCCTTTTTGCGCAACAATCTTCGATCGTTTGATTCCCTCTCGAATTTTTGATCGTCGATACCTCGAGATAACGAGTTAAACGATATTTCTCACGATGGAAAAGATGTAATTCCATATGCTTTATGCTTCCGTCTCGTAATTTCAAAATTTAATTTAAAAGAATCGCAATGGCAAGAAGCTAGTGAAAAATATTGAAGCGATTCTTGCACGAATAGAATAATTTCGTTGAACTTCTAAGATACGAGACAAACGTTCGTTCGCGTATACACGATCGCGATCGGTTATGCACCGACACAGGAGTGGATGTTGCTCGACGTTGATATATGCATTATTCAGGCCGTGTGTATCTATTCATTATTCATGTCATGATCAATGGATGTCAACAGACCACGATCTGTATCTGGACGGAAAGTGAAAGCACTCGCTGTCGTTCGGTCGTGCGCTTGCAACACGAAGGTGCCGATCAGATTTTACGAAACGAAGGATCTCGACACACGCACGCACACACACACACGCACACATAGGTCTCGTTACAATAACACATTATAGTCGTATCGTCGCTTTTGTTTGATCAACGATACGTTGACGAGATAATCAGCCAATTGTAGCGTTAATCGGAGTTGACGTTCGAATTGTATAGAAATCGAGCATAATATCGTCGTATTGTTCAATTCTCGCATAATGGCCAACATATTACAACTTGAAAAGTGACATAATTTGAAAATTACAAAATTTTAGAAAAGCTTGGAACAATTTTGAATCGTTGGAGACCCGCTTACAAGATTCAAATACAATATATACGATATTGTATATAATATAATAATGAAATTCGAATGATCATTTCGATTTTCTCTTTTATCGTCGCGCGGCTCTCACGAAGATTGGAAACTAATATTTTTGCGAAATATCGTAGTTTTGGAACGTTATAACTGTTTTCAGAATACTGTAACTGTACTTTTGTAAAATGGAAGTATTCCTCTGAATTCTCTACGATGAAACTCAATAGTTTGCTGTATTGTGGAACGCGTGGTATTAGGATTGTAGATAGATCAATTTTTGACCTACTACAGTGGAAAACGATACGCGATATACACCCGAATATATCAATATTCGAAAAAAATTCCAGGGTGGAAAGAATTATTCTTCGAAAAAAGAAAGAAAAAAAAAAAAAAAAAAAAAAGGAACGGGTTCTTTGTTACAGAGATCGATATTAATGGTGGATTTCGGGGCGCGAAACGGAAAAGGGAGAGGTGATAAACGCGCCCCGATAAAAATCGATATGAAATCGCGTATCCACGTCGAAGGAACCCCCCTTTATCGATAAATTTCGGGTTATGAGGTTTTCTCGCCCGATACCGGCCGAGAAATTCTTCCGCGCCGGGATATCGATAAACATATCGATTGAATTTTCGTACCGGTTCCGATAAATTGCTCCTCCTGAAAATCAACACCAATAAATTCCGGGTCGTGGAAATCGGCATCGATAAATTCCGAGTCGTAAAAATCGATGCCGATAAATTTTCCCCTCCGCCTGTTGGGGGGAGGGGAGGGGTATAAAAACTACCTCTCCCCACATTCCGGGTCGTGATAACCGGATCGACGACGAATAAATCTGGGATCACGGGGCGGCACACCCGTGATAACCATCTGGGGGAGGGGAGGGACGGTGGATATCCGTGGGGAATGATCGACGATGATTTTCGGGTCGCGGTAATTTCACACGATGACAAATTCCGCGCGGTCGGGGAAGCGAAGGGGCCGAGATAAATTCTGGGTCGTGGCACGCGGTATCGATAAACTCGGCGTCCGCTCGACTCGAATCTTTCATTAATCAACCCCGCGTTGCAACCCAGTTACGCCATTCTGTACACGGATGGAGAGAGGGAGGGGTGTAACTGAATACATGGCGGATACACTTTAACGGGAATGGACTCGACGCTTAAAAACAATAGGGTAAATTTGCAGGGGCATGAGATGGAAAGTATTTGTCCCCTGTATTTATTTTCCCGTTTTACGGGCATTAAATTTCGCGTTTAAATTTTTGAATATTAAATTTAGGCGTGGGTGTGTGTTGGTCGAGCGAATAACGTCGTTTTAGAAGACGAAGTTTTCGAAGGTTCGTGAAGAATCGATCGATTGTGAATTATCGATAGAGAATCGAGTTATCGGTAATTTATAATACAAGGTAGAAACGATGATGGAAGAAAAAATATTGATTGATTAATATATAATCGCAATTATTGTACCTTTCTGATCGGACAACGAATTATCGACTATTTTATTTATTGCGAAACTTTTTAAATCGGGAAATATTTTAGAATATATAAATAAATATTGTATCGAGTAGATATTTTTAATTGAAAGGAAAATATTTATCGGAAAGAAAGTTTTACATTGGAGAAATTAGAATAGCAGCACGCGTAAATAAGAGGGCAAACATCTAAATCCTTGTGTCAAGATGTCAGAATACTATAAACACCTCGGAGTGATAAATCAGACACAAGTTACTTGTGCAACTTACTTTCTACTACGACTCGAACACTTGTAGCGCATTAAGTTGGTCGTACATTTAACCTCTTGACGGTGTCACATCGTGCAGACCTTGCATTTATGCACAATAAAACATGGAGTAATTATCTAATTTCTCTCAGAATTTGTCGAGTCAAAATTGTCGAGATATTTCGAATATCTTTCGTGCGTATAAATAGAGGAACAAATTAGCAATAATTTTATCAATTATAAAACCATTATTGAGAACATCGTTTCAACGTGAAATTTTTCTTTTTTTCTTCTTTCTTTCTACATCTAACACCAAAACACATTTAAACGTTTTAATCCAAACTAACGGGTGTTATTATTATATTATTCATTGTCGAACGAGTAATATCGACAACGTATCGAACAGTAGAACGTAATTAGTATCATATTACTCTTTCACGACATCAAATGAATATAGATAATTTATTATAACAAAATTAATGGTAAACAACAACATTTTACGTTTAAAATAGCAGCTTGCACACACCCTCATATTCAAATTCGACGTCCCCTGTTCACAACCCCGTGAAATCTTTAAGAAGCGCGGTAAGCTGCGTTTGTTTCATCCGCGGTTGCTTGCAAACAAACGAGCAAACAAACAAACAAACAAACAAACACGCTCCACTACGAGCATCCTTCCCGCGCAGCCTCTTTGTCACGCGAACAACGACACCGTGGTAAAAAAAGGGGTGAGAAATACGCGGAAAAGAGCGAACGCGAAAGAGCGAAACGAAGGAACGCCGACGCGACGTCTTTATATTATCCATCCCTCCCCTCGTTGCGCGTATGCACGCGACAATGCAACCGTTGTAAAACGGTTAAGAGGATTTGTCACCTTCGTGTCACCGAATAAACCTCCTCCCCTTCGCTCGCTCGCGAAACTCCAGCTTGACATCTTCGAGGACACGATTTCCTCCTCCACTCTTCTCGCCTCCTCCTTAATCCCCTCCTCCCATCTCGCGTTAAGAAGAGAATTCAACCGCCCCCCGATTCTCTTTGTTCGCGGCGCATCAAACGTGAAATATGCGAGTTCGCCCGGGGAATTTCGGTAATTTGCGAGGAGGGATCGGGGAGACTCGGCTTCGTCTTTAATCCCATCCCCTTGAAATACTATAGATTTGTCGAACGTTTCACGAGCGGATGGAGGTAAACTTAGTCCCGCGAAAACGCATGTGATACCGTGGAGGAAAGTTGGTGGCGGAAGTTGTTCCCTATCCACTCGCCTCCTCCTCCACGGATATCCCCTCCTCGTCGCGCTCGTTCAACCTCGTTGCTTATTTCCAAACGGTTAACGGCGTCGTAAAGAAGATCGTTCGCCGAGGATCGCCGCCGAGGAGGAGGAGGGTGAATTTGTCGCGCGAGCGTTTATTAGGAAGCGCACAGCAGGGTAGAGCAGAGTGGGCATTTTAATGGGCGCATTGTGTCTGACTTCGCTCTTCGAGACAGAATTATGATATAATTGAGGGTATTTATACGTAGGCCGGTTTTCGTTGAGAGATGATGGATTTAAAATTCGAGGGCCGGTTATGAAAAGGGTTTATGAAAAAAATCTTGTTTTCTAATCGATATCGATATGGAGGTTGATCGGGTGGAAGGTTGGACGGGGAGGAGGGGGTAGAAAGATAATCAATCACGTACGAGGTAAATTGAGAAACGATAT